AGGCCCCAGACGCGCACCGAGCCGCCTCCGCGGTCTCCTCTGTGGCGCTGGAGCTCTGTGCCGTCGAGCGCCGACCCCCCCAGGGCCTGCTCGGGGGTGCGCCCTGGCCCGAGAGCCCCGAGGCGGATGCGGCCGCGGCGGCGAGAGCGCCCGCGGGGGCCCCAAGAGGGGCGAAGCGCGCCCGCCGCAGGCCTCACACATCGCTCCCAGGCCCCAGCCCCCCTCGAGCAATGAAACGGTCACGACGGGAGGTTTTTCGCTACTTTCGGCCTCTGGGGGCCCTTACCGGGCCTCGGAACCGTCAAAAAACGATTCGGGATGAAACATTGGTCCCGGGTAATAGGTCGAGACCTCGGGGGGTCGACGTTTCGAAACAATCATATAACGTCGGGGGACTGCTTCCCGGGCGTGCGATGCCCGGGGTCCCCCAGACGTCAACGTCTGGGGGACCCCGGGGAAAGGGTCGTCGGGATCCCGACGACCCTTTCCCCGGGGGCTGGTTGCCCACCCCGACATATCGACTCGTTGTTCCCCTCAGCTCATGACAGCACAGCACAGGTCATTTCAGCACAGCACTGCACTTCACAGCACCTCAGCACAGCACAGCTCAGCACAGCTCAGCACTACACAGCACATCACAGCACAGCACCTCTGGACACCACGGGGGGTGCGCAGCAGGCGGTCTCTAAGCGCGGCCACTATCCACGACACTGTCGCAAAGCCTGGCAGGCGTAGCACATTCTGGACACCATGGGTGGTGCGCATGGGGTGGTCTCTCAGCGCGGCCGCTATCCACGACACTGTCGCAAAGCCTGGCAGGCGTAGCACATTCTGGACACCATGGGGGGTGCGCAGGGGGTGGTCTCTCAGCGCGGCCGCTATCCACGACACTGTCGCAACACCTAGCAGGCCGGCGTGGCACTTTTTGGACACCGTAGGGGGTGGCATTTTCTGGACACCACAGGGGGTGCGCAGGGGGCGACCTCTCAGCGCGGCCGCTATCCACGACACTGTCGCAAAGCCTAGCAGGCGTGGCACTTTCTGGACAGTCGCAAAGCCTCGCAGGCGTGGCACTTTCTGGACACCATAGGGGGTGCGCAGGGGGTGGCCTCTCAGCGCGGCCGCTATCCACGACATTGCCGCAAAGCCTGGCAGGCGTGGCACTTTCTGGACGCCACAGGGGGTGCGCTCGGGGTGCGGTCGATATCCGTTTCGGGCTCGCAAGGTGTGGCAAGCTTGGCACGTTCTCGATGCCACAGAGGGTGCGTTTGGGGTGCGGTCGCTATCCGTTTCGGCCTCGCAAAGCGTGGCAGGCGTGACATTTCCTCGACGACACAGGGGGTGCGCTGGGGGTGCGGTCGCTATACGTTTCGGGTTCGCACAGCGTGGCAGGCGTGGCACTTCCTCGACGCCGAAGGGGGTGCGCTGGGGGCGCGGTCGCTATCCGTTTCGGCCTCGCACAGCGTGGCAGGCGTGGCACTTCCTCGACGCCGAAGGGGGTGCGCCGGGGGTGCGGTCGCTATCGGTTTCGGCCTCGCAAAGCGTGGCAGGCGTGACACCTCCTCGACGTCACAGGGGGTTCGCTGGGGGTACGGTCGCTATCCGTTTCGGGATCGCAGCGCGTGGCAGGCGCGGTACTCTCTCGATGCCACAGGGGGTGCGCCAGGGGTGCGGTCGCTATCCGTTTCGGGTTCGCAAATCGTGGCAGTCGTGGCAACTTCTCGACGCCACAGGGGGTGCGCTGGAGGTGCGGTCGCTATCCGTTTCGGTTTCGTAAAGCGTGGCAGACGTTGCACTTCCTCGACGCCGCAGGGGGTACCTTGGGGGTGCGGTCGCTATCCGTTTCGGGCTCGCAAAGTGTGGCTGGCGCGGCGCTTCTCCTCTCCACCTCTCCTCTTGACTGGGGTCACCAACGGTATCGGCGGGGCAACGGCCACCAACATCATTCTCGCATGCTTCACCTCAGCTATCATCACTCCAGCCATACTATGAGTATGTGGGGTTCCTCGCTCGCGTAATTCTCACCCGCGCCACCCGCGCTCCTCAGTCACACCCTCTCCGCCTCACCTCCGCCCGTCCACGTACACGCACACACGCATCATACATACACGCACAGCACAGCACAGCTCAGCACAGCACAGCACAGCACACAGCATAACGACACACAGCACGTACGCAGCACAGCGCAACACTGCTCAGCACAGCTCAGCTCAGCTCGGCTCAGTACAGCACAGCACAGCACAGCACAGCTCCTTTTCAGCACAACACAGCTCAGCACAGCACAGCATCTCAGCACACCACTGCTCAGCATTGCACAGCACAGCACAGCACCTCTGGACACCATAGGGGTGCGCAGGGGGTGGTTTCTCTGCGCGGCCGCTATCCACGACACTGTCGCAAAGCCTAGCAGGCGTGGCACTTTCTGGACACCATAAGGGTGTGCGCAGGGGGTGGTCTTTCAGCGCGGCCGCTATCCACGACACTGTCGCAAAGCCTCGCAGGCGTGGCACTTTCTGGACACCATAAGGGGGTGCGCAGGGGGTGGTCCCTCAGCGCGGCCGCTATCCGCGACACTGTCGCAAAGCCTAGCAGGCGTGGCCCGTTCTGGACACCATAGGGGGTGCGCAGGGGGTGGCCTCTCAGCGCGGCCGCTATCCACGACACTACCGCAAAGCTTAGCAGGCGTGGGGGTGGCCTCTCAGCGCGGCCGCTTTCTAAACACCGTAGGGGGTGCGCAGGGGGTCGCCTCTCAGCGCGGCCGCTAGCCACGACACTGTCGCAAAGCCTCGCAGGCGTGGCACTTTCTGGACACCATATGGGGGTGCGCAGGGGGTGGTCCCTCAGCGCGGCAACTATCCACGACACTGCCGCAAAGCCTAGCAGGCGTGGCACTTTCTGGACACCATAGGGGGTGCGCAGGAGGTGGCCTTTCAGCGCGGCCGCTATCCACGACACTGCCGCAAAGCCTAGCAGGCGTGGCCCGTTCTGGACACCATAGGGGGTGCGCAGGGGGTGGTCTCTAAGCGCGGCCGCTATCCACGACACTGTCGCAAAGCCTCGCAGGCGTGGCACTTTCTGGACACCGTAGGGGGTGCGCAGGGGGTGGCCTTTCAGCGCGGCCGCTATCCACGACACTGCCGCAAAGCCTGGCAGGCGTGGTGCCCTCTGGGCGCCACAGGTGGTGCGCTGGGGGTGCGGTCGATGTCCGTTTCGGGCTCGCAACGTGCGGCAGGCGTGGCAAGTTCTCGATGCCACAGGGGGTGCGCTGGGGGTGCGGTCGGTATCCGTTTAGGCCTCGCAAAGCGTGGCAGGCGTGATATTTCCTCGACGACACAGGGGGTGCGCTGGGGGTGCGGTCGCTATACGTTTCGGGTTCGCAACGCGTGGCAGGCGTGGCACTTCCTCGACGCCGAAGGGGGTGCGCCGGGGGTGCGGTCGCTATCCGTTTCGGCCTCGCTAAGCGTGGCAGGCGTGACACTTCTTCGATGCCACAGGGGGTGTGTTGGCGGTGCGGTCGCTATCCGCTTCGGGCTCGCAAAGCGTGGCAGGCGTGGCAACTTCTCGACGCCGAAGGGAGTGCGGTCGCTATCCGTTTCGGGCCCGCAAAGCGCGGCAGGCGTGACACTTCCTCGACGCCACAGGGGGTGCGCTGGTGTGGCAGGCGTTGCACTTCCTCGACGCCGCAGGGGGTACCTTGGGGGTGCGGTCGCTATCCGTTTCGGGCTCGCAAAGTGTGGCGGGCGCGGCGCTTCTCCTCTCCACCTCTCCTCTTTGACTGGCGTCACCAACGGTATCGGCGGGGCAACGGCCACCAACTCACATGCTTCACTTCAGCTATCATCACTCCAGTCATAACATAAGTATGTGGGGTTCCTCGGTAGCGTAAGTTTGTTTACGGTGCCGGGGCCCTGGCGAGGGCACTTGGAGGCCGAGCACGGCCAGAACAAGCGCCCGTCGTGCCCTTTCTGTTGCGACGCGAGCACGTCTGGGCTCTCGACCCTCCCTCCTTGAGGAGGAGGAGGAGGAGGAGGAGGAGGAGGAGGAGGAGGAGGAGGAGGGAGGAGGAGGGAGGAGGAGGAGGAGGAGGAGGAGGAGGAGGAGGAGGAGGAGGAGGAGGGAGGAGGGAGGGAGGAGGAGGAGGAGGAGGAGGAGGAGGAGGAGGAGGAGGAGGAGGAGAAGAAGAAGAAGTAGAAGAAGAAGAAGACGAATAAGAAGAAGAAGAAAAAGAAGACGAAGACGAAAAATAATAATAATAATAATAATAATAAGAAGAATAATAAGAAGAAGAAAATAATAATAATAAGAAGAAGAAGCAGAAGCAGAAGAAGAATAATAAGAATAAGAAGAATAATAATACTAATAATAATAATAAGAAGAAGAAGAAGGAGAAGGAGAAGAAGAAGAATAATAAGACGAATAAGAAGAAGAAGAAGAAGAAGAAGAAGATGAAGAATAATAAGAAGAAGAAGGAGAAGGAGACGAAGAAGAATAATAATAATAATAAGAAGAATAAGAATAAGAAGAATAAGAATAATAAGAATTAGAAGAAGAAGAAGAATAAGAAGAATAATAAGAATAAGAAGAATAGGAAGAATAATAAGAAGAATAATAAGAAAAATAAGAATAAGAATAATAATAATAATAATAATAAGAAGAAGAAGAATAATAATAATAACAAGAAGAAGAAGAAGGAGGGAGGGAGGAGGAGGAGGAGGAGGAGGAGGAGGAGGACGAGGACGAGGAGGAGGAGGTGAGGAGGAGGAGGAGAGGAGGAGGAGGAGGGAGGAGGAGGAGGAGGAGGAGGAGGAGAGGAGGAGGACGAGGAGGAGGAGAGGAGGAGGAGGGAGGAGGAGGAGGAGGAGGAGGAGGAGGAGAGGAGGAGGAGGAGGAGGAAGGGGAGGAGGAGGCGGAGGAGGATCTCGTGGCGGCCCGCACGGGTGGGAGGGCCCCTGGCGTGCGCGCGGGAGGGGGGCGGCGCCGCGCCGGGAGGGGGCGCGCAGGCGTTCTGGCACGGCCGCGGCCCCCGCTGCCCCGGCCGCCTCCTCTTCCTCGGCGCCCGCGAAGGCGAAGGCGCGGCCCCCGGGCCCACCGCCCCCCCACCCACCATTGCACCGAGTTCTGCACGCGCAGGCGTGAGGCGTTTCGAACAAGTCTAGGCGGCGGTCTTGCAGCGTGCTCGGCCTCTCGGGGCCCTTCCCCGGGCCCTCGGGGGGCCCTGGCTGGGCCTGGGCGCCGTCAGTGCTTCCGACGGCAGGACCCGGCACGAGGATCTGTGTCGCTTGCCCCTCGCCGTTTCCTCATCGCCTTGGCTGAGGCCATCCTCCCGTCCTCTACGTTGCCTCTTTCTGCTCCTCCTCCTCCTCCTCCTCCTCCTCCTCCTCCTCCTCCTCCTCCTCCTCCTCCTCCTCCTCCTCCTCATCCCTTCCCTCTTGCTCCTTCTCCTCCTTTTTCTCCTTCTCCTCCTCCTCCTTCTCCTCCCCCTCCTCCTTCTCCCCCTCCTCCTCTCTTCTTCTTCTTCCTCCTCCTCCTCCTTCCTCCTTCTCCTCCTCCTCCTCATCCGACTCCTCCGACTCCTCCGACTCCTCCCCTCCCACTCCTATTTCCCCTCCTCCTCTCCTCCTCCTCCGTTTCCTCTCCTCCTCCTCATTCTCCTCCTCCGACTCCTCCTCCTCCTCCTCTCCTTTCCTCCTCCTCCGTCCCTCCTCCTCCTCCTCCTCCTCCTCCTCCCTCCTCCTTCTCCTCGTTCTCCTTCTTCTCCCCCTCCTTAGCCTCCTCCCGCCTCCTTGTTTGCCCCGTCCTCTCTCTCTCTCTCTCTCCTGCCTTCCCCCCCCCCCGCCATCTCCGGCATCTCTATTGGAAGGGCGCATACGATTTTCCACTGCCTGGGCGTGCGTGCCGATTTCCCTTGGAGCTGTCGCCGCTTCTGCCAGCACGGGCACCTTCTCCATCGGCCAGATCGCGAAGCCGTTGGGCAACCCCGCGGGCCAGGCCGTCGGGACAACCCGGCGGGCCGTTGACATGCGAGGCCAAGCCGTTGGGACAACCCCGCGGGCCTCTAGCTGCGAGCCGCCGCGCTCAGCGGGAGGCAGCGCAAAGCCCAGCTCTGCTGCGAACTGATCCGCCACAGCCTTGGAGCTCACTGCTGTGTTGTCGAACTTCCTGAGCGCCTTCTGAAGGACGCCGGCGGCTCGCGCTCCAGAACCTCGCGCGAGGACGGCTGGGGGATCAGCGCGCGTAGCGCAGGGTAACATGAATGGCGTAGAGGTGCAGCCAGCCACCGCTGCTCGTCAGATTTGCCCGTGCGGTCAGTGTCCTCGTCTTGGGCGCACTCGATGGCATTTTTTTGCAGCGTATGACCTTGCGACAGCGTGTCGGTCAGGTGGGACATGTGCGTCAGGGTGTCAAACCCAAGCGGCGCACGACTTGCTGCCCCGAGCTCTGCCACCTGAGCTCTTGGTCGCCAGACCAGTGCATGAGCGAGCTCCTCGCCCGCGCCTCGGTTTCGCCGTCATCCGCAGCGTTGTTCGACGCCCTATAGCAGCAGCTCGGGGACTTCTTGAAGCCGCGCGCCTGCATCCAGATTCCTTGCGGTAGGAAGTGGGGGTGGAAGAGTTGGCCCGGCGCGCACTCCTCGTACCGCTGCTTGTTTTCTGGGCGAAGTTCGAAACACACGACGGTGGCCCGCTGCTCCTGATCGAGCCCCAAATTCTTCTTCAGCTCTTCCTGGACGGCCGCGAGCCAAAACTCAATGCTGAAGTGCGCCGACAGGACCACCCGCGCCGGGGATCGAGCAGTGGCAAGCGTCTTGGCTTGCCTATAAGCTCACCAAATAACGTTTTAAGCCAATGTTTGTGGTCTGCGCCACGTGTTCTTGGAACATTCCTGTCTGACTCGATCTGCTTCAACACATCGGGCTTGCGTTTGATTCTAAGAACATGTCGTGGCAGGCCTACAGGAGTGCCGTGACGGTCGGTCCCTGCTCAAGCGGAGGCAAGGGCTCCCCCCTGCCCCCGACTCGGCCGCTGGTCGGTTACAACCGGCGGCCGGGGAAAAAGGGGTTCCCCTTGCCCCCGATTCGGGCGACGATGGTTTGCCACAGTTGGCCCGGACACAAAGTGTCCCCCTCTTCGCCCGACCGTCGCCGTCGTCCTCCTGGAATATCATCCCTCCTCTTCCTCTTCTTTTGATGGCTTGAGGGACTGGCCCGTGAGGGCCCGTGGCACTCAAAAGCGTTTTGTCGCCACGGGTTCGCCGAACCATGCTTTCCTCCACCTCGACCCCTTGAAAACGTAGGCCTTATGGGATTTCTTGCGGCCTTCTGATGCACTCCGAGGGCTGCCGCTCGAGACTTCCCCGCCAATCACCCGCGGACGAGGCTCCCGCTTGTGACTATCTCGCCATCCATTCACAGACGAGGCTCCAGAACCCCGCTGTGGATGTGGGGAACAAGAACCCCACCTAGGATGCGGTGAACACAAAACGATCCAGAATGAAGAGCCAGTCCCGGGGAATGGGTCGAGACTTCTAGGGGTCGACGTCATGAAATAATGATACCGGAGAAAAACCCCAAACACAATATTTTTAGGGCTGTTGGGCTATGGGGCTATACGGTTATAGGACCACGGGGCTAGGGCTATAGGACTATAGGGCTATAGGGCTATAGGACCATTGGGCTATAGGGCTACAAGGCAATGAGGCTATAGAGCTATAGGTCTATAAGGGCTATAGGGTTAAAGGGCTATAGGGCGATTGGGCTATAGGGCATAATGACTATAGGGCTGTAGGGCTATAGGGCTATAGGACTATCAGGGTTGTAGGGCTATAGGTTAGGTCTATAGGGATATAGGGTTATAGAGCTATAGGACTATAAGGCGATAGAGCACCCGGGCACCCCGGGCACCCGGGCACCCTGGGGCACTTCCGGGCACCCCTGGGCACCTCCGGGCACCCCGGGGCACCCGGGCACCCCCGGGCACCCGGGCACCTGGGCACCCCCTGCCAGGCACCCCCGGGCACCCCTGGGCACCTGGGCACCCGGGCGTGCGGCGAAAATCGGCGGCAAACCTAACCTAACCATATGAATCCGCTAGGGCCCCTACAGAGGCAAGCTCTGATTGGGGAATCATGACGTCGGGGGTCTGGGGCTGCACCGAACCTCTGCACGGGAGCGACCTCCACACGCGGAGGCCAGACGGCACCAACTCTGCCAGAGTCGGGGCTCAAGAGACGGGGGTGGGTCCATGCAAACGGGGGTCAGCCAGAGCGCCGGATCTTGCAGGAGCCAGGGGTGCATTGACACGGGCTTGGGCGCAGGATCTTGCAGGATCTTGCAGGATCCTGCTAGGCCCGACGGACCCTGGTCCGGATTGACCAGGTCAGTAGGTCCCCGACAGGGCGGCGCTCGTCGGGAAAGGTCGCAGGGTATCAGAGACGACGGGTGGTGTGCCCCGTTTGCTTGGCCACGAGTGCTGGCGGCTCTGCCGCACGCGCGCGCTCGAACGTTTGCACGCCCAGCTCTGGCTGGTCGACAAGAGTCGTTGGCAATGGTCAATTCGGACAACCGGTCCACTGGAGTTGTGTTTGCGAGCGCTGCGACGCAGTACAGTCAGCCCGCATGGTGAGGATGGGCAATCTTCCCAAGGGTACCCTTGCATCCTTGCCCCTTCGGCCCATTCTTAGCCACTTTCGCTGGCCAGCCTCGTCCGAAGAACGTTACCATGGGCCTCTAAGACCCTTGCATCCCAACCGCGCATCCTCATGATACGGGTTGTCTGACTGTATTCCTTGTTCCCATTCCAGCTCAGGGGGTGGATGTACGGGCTATGAGCAGTAAGGTTCAGCATTCGTGTAAGCTCGATGGCACGACGGCGATGCGAATAATGACGGTGATGGTCATATAGGATAAAATTATAAGGTACGTGGAGGAGGAGGAGGCGGAGGAGGAGGAGGAGGAGGCGGAGGAGGAGGAGGAGGAGGCGGAGGAGGAGGAGGAGGCGTGATGGCAGGAGGTCGTGATGGTCTCGCTCGGTGAGACGGCCCCTGGCCCCTGAGCCGAGGCCCATATGCCGCAGGGCAACGTAAGGGATCTCTCCGTGTCCTTCCGTTCCAAGCTTTAGGCTTTGGTCCTTGTGACGGTTGCCAGCGCTGTTCGACAGCCTCCTCTTCCTCCTCCTCCTCCTCCTCCTCCTCTCCTCCCCTCCCCTCCCCCCTCCTCCTCCCCTCCTCCTCCTCCTCCTCCCTCCTCCTCCCTCCTCCTCCTCCTCCTCCTCCTCCTCCCCTCCCCCTGCCCCTTCCCCCTCTCCCCCCTCCCCCCTGTTCGATTGGTTCCAGCTTTAGGCGTTGGTGCTTGTAACGGTTGCCAGCGCTGTTTGGGGTTCATGCAGCGTTTAGAACACTAGGAACAATGTGCCTCGTGTTCCTGGAGCGTTCTGTAGCGTTTCTGGTTCGTTCGCTTAGCGTCCTTCTTGGCGCGCTGACGGCCGTGCCACGAGTAGTAAATAACGCGATGGGAGCGCGAATATAGGCCACGAGGCTTTCTCAAATTGCTGGGGCACATTCTTCGCGATTTGATTGGTCGGGTGCACGGCGATGCGTGATGCCGACGGGTGTTCCCAGAGGCGTCTCCTGCCATGCCGATGCCGATGCTGATGCCGACGTCTTTTTTGGGTTGCACCTGGATCAAGACCCAATCCAGTTTTTTATTGTCAAGTTGGGAGTCACGGAGCTTGCAGTCAACCCGCATTGTGAGGATGGGCAGCCTTCCCAAGGGTGTCTTTGCATCCTTGCCCTTTCGGCCCATCCTTAGCGGCTTTCGTGCAACCTCGTCGTTCGAAGAACGTCCACATGGGCCTCCAAGGCCCAAGGCCCTTGCGTCCCTACCGCGCATCCTTATGATTCGGTTGGACTGTAATGTTAACACAGCCGTATCCCTACCTTCGGTGTTCAGCCACCAAGCGAATTAGCCAAGCAAGTTTGTCTTCTGACGGCCCCTGTGTGGGCAGCAGCACAGCAGCAGCCAAGCGCAAACATGTCCTCGCCCTCGCCCCTGGTCAGAGTGGGGGGGCCGAACGGTCATTCGCTGTCCTTGGGTGCGTGGTTGAAGTGGGCTTCCGCGGATTGTTTTTGTTGTTGTCATTGTTGTTGTTGTTGATGATGCTGTTGTTTGTTGTTTGTTGCCGTCTTCACGCCCGCGACAAGGCCCGCGACTCACCCGCGACCCGCGACGGCCCCCTCACTCTTATCCGCAACTACGGGGTTTTAATATTATTTGCGCTTACTTCTCGCACCCCGCTGCTGCTTGCAACCGGTCCAACAATTCTTGCGAACAGCAGCGGCGCAGTGGAGTCCGTCTTACAAGGCCTGAGCATCGAGCGGGCAGTCGGGTTGAGGAAGCCAGAGACCCTGACTCCAGATCCGCCCTACTTTGGGGAAATTCGTAAGTAGGGCTTAGAATTTCCGCCTTACTTTTCAAGCCCCGCTGATGCCAATTTCCGCCCTACTTTTCTTCTGTTGTTTCCGCCCTACTTCTGTGGATGTCCGCCCTGTTCTATGTTTGGTGCAGAAATTTCCGCCCTACTTTTTCGGTGGATTTCCGACGCAATTTTAAGTTGGGAAAAAAGCCAAAGTAGGGCGGATCTGGAGTTAGGAGAGGAGGTTTCTGGAGGTACGTTGGCTGGAGGTGCCCTGCCAGCTCCGCGGCCCGAGCCGAGGCGCCTGGCCCCGGGCCCCGGAAGGGCTTCAAGATCGTGCTGCTGGGGGACGCGTCGGTGGGGAAGTCCAGTCTCCTGGTGCGCTTCCTCCAGGACGCCCGCCCCCACGGCCCTCGTGCGCCGGCGCGAGCTTGTTTCGGTGGAGAGGGAAGGGGGTCCCGAGGGAAGCCTTCCCGCCGCAGGTTCCGGACATCCGCATGACTCAGCAGGCGGGTTGCTGAAGCGTGCGTCGTGCACGGATGGCGAGGGAGTCTCGAACGATAGCGCGAGTCCAGAATAACTCGTGAGGGAATCCCGAGCGAGGGCGTGATTCTGCGTGTCGAGGGCGCGGCGTCTGAATAAATTGCGAGGAAGTCGTTCTTATTCCAAAGATGTCTGTTGGCGGACCCGGGGACCCAGCGGAGGGGCCCAGGGCCCAAGAGAGGGCGAGAACACACATCCGTAGCCCCTCTATTCCAGAACCCGTTTCCTTCACATGTCAAATTTTGTCAGTCTCGTGCCGCCTCCGTCCCGAGACCCTCTCGAGTAATGAGAAAACGCGACGGGAGGTTTTTCATATGTCTCGGCCTCTGAGGGCCCTTACTGGGCCTCGGGACCGTCAGAAAACGGCTCAGGATGAAAAACAGGTCCTGGGGAAAAGGTCGAAACCTGTGGGTGTCGACGCCATGACAAAAAATCATGACGTCGGGGGTCTGGGTCCGCTGCCTTTCTGACCTCTTGCGCCCCTGGAAGGCCAGCCGTCCGAGCTCGGCGTGATGTTTGTTTTTGTTCAGTCCCACGGGGCAGGTCTCTGTGAGCAGCTCTGCGGCATGGGGAGCACCCGTGCTAACCGTGGCCTCTCCCTCCTCCCTCCTTCCTGCTTCCTCCCCCCGAGCACCGCACACGCGCATGCCGACGTTCAGCAGCAGCAGCCTCCCTCCTCCACCGCTCCTCCATCTCGCGCGCCTCCTCGCACAACTCACTGAGTGTCAGCGGGGCAAAAGGGCTGCTCCCACCTTGCAGGGCAAGGCATGAGAGCGCCCACACCGAGTCAAATTTGGAAATGCGTCACCCAACGCCATCGTCCCAAGCATGCCAACAGTACCGGCAAGGTGCTGAGAGGCCTTGCTGATGCTTTTGGTGGAGGCATATGCCCCCAGGTGGCGGCGCGTGGCGGACGAGACTCGGCCAGTGCAATGTGCCGGTCCCTTTTCATCCGTGCTGGTCATGTGCTGGGCTCCTCCCTCTCCTCCTCCTCCCCCTCCCGTTCGTCCCCTGCTCCTCCTCCTCCTCCTCCTCCTCCTCCTCCTCCTCCTCCTCCTCCTCCATGTTACGCTGCACAGATGTCGATCCCAGCGACTGCTGCGTCTGGTCCTCACTCTCATCCTTCTCCTCCTTCTCCTCCTCCTCCTCCTCCTCCTCTCCTCATCTCCTCCTCCTCCTCCTCCTCCCCCTCATGCATCTCCTCCGCCTGCGCCCTCCTCTCCTCCTCCTCCTCCTCCTCCTCATTCTTCTCCTCCTCCTCCTCCTCCTCCTCCTCCTCCTCCTCCTCCGCATCTCCTCCTCCCTCCTCCTCTCCTCCTCCTCCTCCTCCTCCTCCTCTTCCTCCTCCTCCTCCTACTCTCTCTCTCTCTCTCTCTCTTTCTCCCTCTCTCCCTCTCCTCCTCCTCGGGCCTCTCTGGCTCAGGGCGGGCGTGCGCCTCGCCCTCCTTGCTCGGCCCGTGCCGGGGCCTCGCCGCTGTGCCACCGCGAAGAGTGTGCGGCCGGGGCGCTCCGTCGCATCTCGAGAGGCTGCTGTTGCAGCTGGAGGCTCTGACGCCTCCTCCTCCAGGTGGTCTCGTCGCGCCGGACCCGTAATCCACAGGTCGGGGGCCCCCAAACGGTGTGGTGACCACACCGTGCGGTGAGTCGGTGGGGATTCGGGGTCACCGCACGGTTCTGGGACTCGAGTCGTTCTGTGAGGATGTATCGGGCGACAGGGGCCTCCAGGGTCCCAAGACCGTGCGTTGACGGACCGTGCGGTGAGGTCTTGGGGGATTTCGAGGTCACCGCACGGTCCGTCACCGTACCGTTTCGGGACTCCACAACAGGCTGAATTGGGGTGACAGTTTGGCCCCTCTGTGGAAGAAGGGTTTTTTGTGGGATGCGTGCAGAGGCCCCTCTGTGAAAAGAGGGCTCCTCCAACAAGCCCATCTGTGAGAGAAGGGCTCACCCCATTCCGTGAACCTGCAGGCCAGTACAAACCCGAGCTTGACGCCAACGCATCCGCCTTCGCAGACAAGACGAAGGCCAGGGACTGCGCCGAGGAGGACGCGTCCCATCGGTGCCGTTGCCGTGCGCCCCCCCAGGAATTCTGAATAGGTGACCAGACAGCGACCGACCAGCGTGCGGCTATCGAGGAGAAGAAGTGGCTGAATCACTTGCGGAAGAGTCAGAATCGTCTTGAAGAACAAGCGTGTGGTTCAGAGAAGTTGGTGGCAGTTCCTGAAGGCGTGGGCGCGGCTGCTCACTATCGAAGGGCAATTGTTGATTCCCCAGATCGTTTTCTTACTTGCCTAGAAGGTGAGCTTCAAGCTTATGTTGGAGACTCCCATGGCCCCGAAACCGTCGGTGCTCGTGGTGGCGACGATGGCGGGGACATTGGCGACTCTTACGATGCAGTTCTTTCGGCTTCAACACCACGGGCTGACGTGATTGGCATTCACGCGAACCGTGTGGAATATTTGGTTCAGATGATCGATGGTGGCATGTTTTCCCTGATGCTGCTGGCCTCGAAGTGCGAGCATTGGTTGGTCGTTCTTCGTCTTGCACGCCAACCTATTCTCCGCAACCGGCGCCAGAGCGTTACGACGATACCGTCGTTTGGTTTCTCGGCATCGTGATTCCGAATCTCGATATCGAGCCAGTTGTCAATGACTTTTTTGGCCTGGTGAGGTTCATGCGTCCGGTGTTCTCTGCGTCTCTTTCCTCTGAGCTTGCGATTTTCCTGCCGCCCGATCGCCGTGGCAGCTCGTGCGTGCAGGGGTCCACAGCCAGAAATCTATCTCTCTTTCCTCCTTCTTGTCCAGAGGTCTCTGGGGTTCCCCCGCCCACCCGACCCCTTTCAACTACGGGCTGAAATCCTTCCCGCACGCGGCTCGCACCCAAACTGAAAACAGCTCTCTCACCCCTGGCTGCCGCAAGCATCTTGCCCAGGCGCTGTGCGTCTGGTGGCGCCGATGCTTTCTCGCCAACCGCTTGTCGCCGCTGGCGCGTCAAGAGGAAAGTCTTTCGTTCTGCGTAAGTACGTGCTGAAAGTAGCACATGCTTTGCGCGGTCGCGCTCGTCTACGTGTTTTCTCAATTCGGTGTTTCCGCGTATTGGTTTTGTTTACCCGCATGACTTGCAAGGACAAGCTTGTCTTACGTATTTTTTAATTCGATCGGTTGCGCCTCTCCCAAAACAGCGCTCCCGCTGCAACGTCGGCACAATTTCCGCCTTCTCAGTCGTTCAAAAATTGCACTCTCGATGCAGTGTGGGGTATCCGCGTCCGCGGTCCTTCTCAATGGAGGTCCCGCTTTCGTGCTGACCTCAATTTGCGCTGTTTGAGCGGTCCCGCTGTGTTTTCCGCTGCACCATTGGCCTCGCATGCTGGGTTGCGTCCTTGTCAAGTGTGGTCCCGCTGTCGCATTTTGGCCCCATGTATATATGCGCCGAAGCCGCTTCAGGGCTTCGGCATGGGTCTGCGTGGCAAGGCTGCTTAGCGCCCCCCGACCCATCTCGGTATGAGTGTCTGCTTCGATACCCGATGCAGCGGGAGTACGCATGGCTGCCGCAATGAGAAGGGTTGGCAGGGACAGACCGGATGTCAGATGAGGCGCGAGCGCACCTAGTTCGTTTTCTCCCCTGTCCTCCCCCAGCCCCCTCCCACCCTCCCCTTTCTCCTTGCTTTCCTCGTTCCTGTCCAGGGCCTTGGGATCTCTGGAGTCCCCCCGTCCATCGGGCTCCGCTCCCCCGCAGGCGGATGTGTCCCAGGCCTGCTCGCATCCCACGCATACGCCAGAGATCCCCATGCTGCTCTTTCTCCTCCTCCTCCTCCTCCTCCTCCTCCTCCTCCTCCTCCTCCTCCTCCTCCCCGTTCTCTCCCTTCTCCACACGCGGCGGAAAGGCAAGCAGAGCTTCCCAGGGAGCCGGGGCGCACAAGCTGCTGTTGGTTGCCCCCTTTTCATGATTTCCCTCCTCCTCACCCTCCTACGTCTTGCTGGCTTCAGGGCAGGTGTTCTTTTGGCTCCACTGGAGTCGACACGACTGGAAACCGTGCGGGTCGTCGTCCCAGGGAGCAAGCCGCATCTTTGGTTGTATGCTCGCAGCGGGATCACTTGCTACCAGTTGTTTTGGCGGTCTGGCGATTGGCATACGTTCCTCTCTTACGTTTGCCTTCGGTTCTCCACTGCATTCAGGTGTTCTTCTTCACTTTTCCACATTATGTCCATTTGTCCTATGTTCTCTCTCGGTTCTTCAGCGCCGTCCTCTCTAGCTTGCAGCTCCCTGCCACTGCAAATAGAGGCCGTACTCTTCCTCGTTCGCATGCTGCTTCTTGGCTCCCGGTATTGCTCATCCTGCCCCCCCCCCCTGCGAGAGCCTCGCTCGCCTCCATCACCTCAACTGCGGAGCACCGGCACAGACGTGGGAGGCGATGACGACGGGCATCTATTGGGAGAGGAGGGGGGAAGAGGGGAGAGAGAACCGAGCAGCACGAAGAGGAGGAGGAGGAGGAGGATCACAAGGATAAGGAGGAGGAGGAGGAGGACCGAGGGAGGCGGGCAGGCGTGGCGAGAGACGGAGGGTCTCGGCACGGCGGGAGCGCGGACGTGACGTTGAGACGAGCGCTGCCCAGAACACGTTCTCCGACGGCATCCAGGCTCCCCGGGTACCCGCATGCATGGCAAGCGTGCGGCAGCCACTCTGCGGAAGGTTCACGCGGCGTTGGCGCGCCGGCGACGCCCAGCGAAGACGTTCAAGGTTGAATTCTGCGAGGCCGAAGCACCGACAAACACGGTATCGCCAGGGGACCCGACTGAATTCAGATTTCAACGATCGGGGCCCCGATCGGTTCAAGGCAAAAATCTTTGCGCGCGCTGGCGCCGCACGAACCTACCGTAAGCGTGCGGGAGCCTCTTGGCCTCGCTCGGACGTGTGCATTGTTTCTCGGCGGGGGCCTGTGTGTGTGTGTTTTTGTTATGTGTGTGTGTGTGTTTTTTGTGTGTGCTGATTTTTTTTTGTGTGTGTGTGTGTGTGTGTTTTTGTGTGTGTTTTTTGTTTGTTTTGTGTGCTTTGTGTGTTTTTTGTGTGTGTGTGTGTGTTTTGTGTGTGTGTGTGTTTGTTTTGCGTGTTTGTGTGTTTTGTGTGTGTGTGTTTTGTGTGTGTGGTGTGTGTGTGTGTGTGTGTGTGCGCGTGCGTGCGTGCGTGCGTGCGTGCGTGCGTGCGTGCGTGCGTGCGTGCGTGCGTGCGTGTGTGTGTGTGTGTGTGTGTGTTTTCCCGCGGGGGCCACAGAGGAGCATCCCAGAGCACCTTGCGGAACAAGCGCGCACGAACCCGAGCCACGCACGGGGGATGGGCGCCCGAACGAGGCACAACGACCCCCGTCGCCCCTCCAGACCGCCCGCCTTCCCGCTGGGGCCCCGGCGTCTTCCGGGCCTCCCGCGCCACGGTGGTCTTACTTGGCAGTCGGCCCCATGACCATGCGACTATGTCCCAGGGGCTCGACGTGCTCCCCCGGTAGCAGCGGCAGCTGCCCGGCCAGTCTGGACTTCGCGAGGCCCCGCACTGCGGGGTGCCCCGCGGGTGGAGCCCCTGTGCTCCCCGCCCGGCGCTGCGCCAGGCCCGGGGCGCTCCGCGGAGGCCCCTGCCGCGGGCACTCTGCTGACCCGTTGCGCTGCGCCGCCGCGCGCGCGGCCGCGACTGCAACGACGTCTGCGCACCCAGAATCATCGAGGATAGAAGAACCCCTAGCCCTAATATCATAGTTAAGGCGTGGCCTCGCTGAGGTGCCCGTCTTTGCATAAGGGACAATACGTATGGGCGGTTTGGTTAGATGCATCTGCAGAAAGGACCCCCTTATCCCTAATGTTGTTGGCCTCCTAACTTAGGTCGCCTCGCAAAGGATTGGGGGTCGATTTTTGTTGCTACTCACAGAGCCCCCGGCTTCACACTTTCTTCACAGCGCCGACCCCCAGGGTCTCGACCCATTCCCCAGGACAAGTTTTTCGTCCCGAGTCTTTCAGGGACGGCCCCAAGGCTTGGTGAGGGCCACCGGATAGGCCGAAAAGAGCGAGGAGCCTCCCGCCGTGACTTCTCCATGACCCGGGAGGCGCGCGTGCCGCTGCGCGTGAGATGCCTGCCGAGGAGCACTGCCAATGACGAGGCCATGCTGCCTCTGTTGCCCTCGGCGGCCCGTAGCCATTTTGGCTCAAGACGGGGTTTACCTCCCGTCCCGACTCCCGAGGCTCGAGGCTGAGGTGGAAGGGCAGCCCCTTCCATTGGCCTGGCTGCCTCAGCTAGCTTCTCAGTGAGCACCTGGAGGTGCAAGTCTTTCGCCCCTCGGCGCTCCGAGGGACTCGGTCGCAGCACAGCAGTGCGGCGGCCTTCATGGATGGTGCAGATGTGGTCCGCGGCCCCAAGACGCCTTTCTGGGGCTGCCAGAGTTGCGGACTCACCAGCAACTGGGCGTGCAGGCTGCGGTGCCGCTGCGGGGCTAAGGCCCCCGCGTTCGTGCTGCAGCGCGCCAAGGCCTTTGGCGGCGGCGGGAGCCCTCCTCGGCTGGAGCCTGGGCGCGGCCGTCCTCCTGCTGCTGGTTCGCGGCGAGAGGCCAAACTGGAATCCAAGCTGGCAGAGTTGCAGAAGAAGCTGGACCAGGTCATTGGAGGTGCTACCAAGCCCGCCCGCGCCCCTACTGTTGGACAAGGGCCTGGCCAGCATGGGGGCACGCAATCCAATGGTGGAGGAGGTGACGGGCAAGATCCACTACAGGCACGAGTGCTCGAGCTCGAGGGTGCGATCAAGGCCTGTGGCAAGAGTGACGACACGGTCGAGGCGCGGACGCTACTTGAGACCAAGCTCAAGGCGGTGCGCTCGGAGATCGAGAGTAAGAAGCCGAGCATCACGCAGCACGCCAATGTGGGGCATCGCTTGGCTCGTGCTACTACGAAGATGGAGAAGGTCACGACAGAGCTGGAGGAGCATATCAAGTTGCTTGACGAGCTCAATGTCAAGACGGACGAGATCAGGGCACGCAAGATCGCAGCGGAGGCTGAAGTGGCTGAACTTCAGAGGCAGCACGTGCAGTCACTCCCTGGTCAGGCTTCTGACGCAGGCGACAAACGGCCCGTTGACTTCTCCCTCCCACCAGAGGCCTTGGAGGGCAAGGACGCGATCAAGTCTATGCTCGAGACGGCCGAGTTCAAGGAGTTCGTCAAGCTGTTTGCTGTGCATCGAGCTGCCTCTGGTCCTGGGGCTGACGCTGAATCCAATGTCGACGACGGTGAGCAAGTGCCCACGCCTCATGACGAGGAGATGGATGATGCGTTCCAGGACGAAGCAGCTGCTGAGGCTTTCTGGGAGAAGCACCGTGGCGACAAGCGTGCCTTCACTCAAGCCCTGCTGGGCGTTCAGCTCAAGAAGCCGAAGACAGCGCCGCAGCTTTAGCCACCCACCGTCATGGGCGAGGTGGCATGGCTCGACGTGGACGGCGGCGAGATTCTCATCCAAACCTTTTGCTTCACGCAGTGAGAAAAACCATACCTCAGGTTCTTCGGGATCTGAGGGTGTCAGACGCATGCCAGACGTTCCTGGCGAAGGTGGTCATCGGCGACAGGCTACTGACGATGAAAGGTCAGAAGTTTCTCAAGCCTTACCTGATGACGCGGTGCTTTTCTTCGAGGTTACGTGCGACGAGAGGTGGCTCAGACTTCAGACCTACGTGGACCTGAAGGCAGTGTGGCACCTGCTGGACGTGCTGCAGTACGGCCAGGGTATCAAGTTCAACGAGGATGACGAGGAGCGAGTAGCCAGGCACAATGGAGTGCCCGAGCACCTGAGTCCCTCTGAGTCCCCGCAGCCGCCAGTTTTGTGTGACAGTGCCCGTGTGCGGCCCCACCTGGGGCCCAAGTGCACTGGTTTGCGCGTCACGGCACACGGAGTTGGCTCACCGCCTAACGCCGCCGCCCCTGCCGACCTGGAGGGTCAGACTCTCGTGTTTGAATCGTATAACGGTAACAGCTGGGGCACACTCAGAAAGAGATTGAGGAGTACACAGGCCCTGGTGGTGTTTGCACAGGAAATAGGTATTGCTGAAGAAGACTTGGCGGCGAGAACTTCGACTGCTAAGAGTTTAGGCTGGAACATGCTTTGTGCTCCTTCGGTCAAGTGTGCAGGTGGGCAAACGTCAGCTGGAGTTGCTATACTGGCACGGACGTCTATCGGCCTGAGGTGGCCCACTAAGCCCCCCAGAGGCATACTTGTACAACACAGGCTGATTTTCGCTACGATTGACATTTCAGGGTGGCCCGAGTTACTAGCGGGATGCGCGTACATGTTCACCAGTGAGGGGCTGAGCAAGCGGAACCTCCAGATTTTAAGACATGCGGGTGAAGTCTTAGAAGGTGTGCATCTCTCGGTGTTTGCTGCTGATTGGAATTTCTCGGCCGTGATTGCTGAGGCGTCTGGCATGCCCCGCAAGGCCTCCATGATGATAATGCAGCCCAGTATCGAAACGTGTGCCACGCCGAAAGCAAACACCAAGATTGATTATTTCATGGCGTCGGCGGCCTTCTGCAAGCTAGTGCAGAACACCGAGGTCGACAGCACGTGGCCGAAGAGGCCCCACCGCCCTGTACAGCTTCGATTAAGGCCTGGGGCAACCAAGCTGCGGCAACTGGTATACCAGACTCACCAGAAACTCCCAGTGGACCTGCCTGTCGGCCCCACCCCCCCCCCCGATCGACTGGTCCGTGGCCCGAGCTGTGGCCGAGGAGGCGAACCGTAGGGCCGACCATGACGAGGTTGGGCTGGTTTGGGGGGTCCTGGACCGTGCGTGGAAAGCTTTCTCGGATGCGATGGAGTTAGAGTTAGAAAGTAGAACGGGCACCCCCATCAAACGTAAAGGGCTCAAAGGTAAGCAGCTGCAGGCTAAGTGGGTGCCTGTTATGAACCCCCCGAAGTGCAAAGATGATGATGATGTGCGCATTGGGGAGGGATGGGTGTGGCTGCAACAGGGGATGAATGACCTTAGGAACACTAGCCAGCGCATTCTCGTGCAAGCTGACAAGTTCATTGATCACAGTGAAGTGCAGGCTGCTCTTAACCTTGTGCAGATTCTCTCTCAGCCATTTGAAGCTGAGGGTTTGTCTCCGAGATTGGATCTCACTGTCCGCAAGGCGCGTGAGCTGGCGGCGGCATGGCCGCAAGACTTAGTGGCCCTCGCTGGGTGGATTGATCACTGCTCGGAGACCTTAGAGGACTGGGCTGAAGATTTTCAAGCGGCCCGCGACGGGCTGGATCAAAAAGCGAAGCAGAGTTGGGACCAGTGGCAGACCCAGGCCCTGGCGGGGTCGGCCCGAAAGATGCACAGGCTTACGAGGTTGAAGGCCAAGTGGCAACCGACGGTGATAGAAACCAGCCCTGGGACCTTCACGTCGGACCCGCGGGAGTTATTGGCCCACGAAGCCAATGTTTTAGGAGGGTATTGGAATGCCACCACCGCACCACCCCCAGTTGATGTCCCAGATAGGCACTGTTTTGAGCGAGCCACCGCGGCGGAGCTGCGAGCTGCAGCCAAGATGTTCTCGCCGCGCACGGCTCAGCCCCTGGATGGGGTGCACGTGCGGCAGTTCGCTTGTATGTCGGACACAGGCCTCGACACCCTGGCGTGCATTTTTCAGTGTGTTGAAAAGATAGGTCTCTTTCCTCGGGCGTTGTACTGGATGCTTTTCCCTCTCCTGGAAAAGCCGAAAGGTGGGTTGCGCCCGATTCTGTTGTGTTCCCCCCCAGTTAGGCTTTGGGGGCGGCTCCGTGGACCGAAGCTGACGTCCTTCAACGACCGCCACCCGCGTAGGTACTGGGCCTTTGGAGCTGGGAAGTCGGCGGAAGGTAGTGTGTGGAACCAGGCGGTCAAAGCGGAGGCCCGAGTGGCCGAAGGCGGAGTCACTGCGGGTTTCTCTTTGGGATGGTTCGAAGTACTATGAGAGTTTCGACCTGAGACTTCTCCGAGACAGGGGCCAGAGAGCGGGCCTCGATCCTGTGGTGCTTAAAGTCACGTACAATTTCTGGAGGGGCCCACGGATCCTGCGTTTAGGCACGGATCATGCGCTGGCGGTGTTGCACGCTAAAAGCGGGCTGCCAGCAGGGTCGATTTTTAACGATATCTTCGTGCGAGTGTACGCGCTCGAGCCTTTCGACGGTTTCGTGGAACGGAACCCCAGCATTGATCTGGCGTCGTATGTGGACGACGACACGGTCTCAGCGTATGGTTCCGAGGCCGAGGTCATCCACGCACTTGCGGCTGCGGCGCAGGACTTGCACCGCGTTTTCAAGCAGGAGCTCGGGGTCAATTTAGCCCAAGATAAGTTGATGACCTTTGGATCGCCCCCCAGGGTTGCTTGTCGCCTCGGGGAGCAGCTCGACAAATTGGCGGGTCAAGTCGGGACCCACATGGTGACCTTAGGTTGTGATCTCGCCCCAGGGGGCGAACGGAGTAAGAAAGGCCACCTGAGCAAAAGACGATGCAGGATAAAAGACATGATCAAGAGACACAGGATTTTGTGTAGGTATAGAAAGGCCCTTCCCAGGGAGCGTTTCAGGATTGGCAAGATCTACACGGCGGGGGTCAAACCTGGTTTAAGCTTCGGGGACACTGTGGTGGGTATGAGCGACGCTGAACTTAAGCGAGCGCGTAGCGTGATGTTGTCGTTCCAAGCGCCCAGGCATGCTGGGGTTTCTTTGAGAGCCAAGACGGCGCTCCTAGGTGACCCCATGTGGAGGAGCATGATCGCCCCTGCTTTGGCGTGGTCGCATGCGGTCTGGATGGCTACCACGCGCCCCGAGCACGCCTTCTTCTCGATTCAGGAGCTGTGCAGTATGTGGCGGACTGTCCCGCCCACAGGCTACAACTGGGCTAAAAGCAAAGGCCCGATTAGTAGAATGCACCTCTCCCTGCAGCGTATCGGCTGGGAAGCCTGCACCCCCCTCGACTGGCGCGATGATAATGGCGTGGAGATATCCCTGCTGTACTCCACCCCGTCCATGATCGGGCACTGGCTTTGTTTGGGGGTTCAGAGGCACCACGAACGCGTCCTGGGGGAAAAGCTTGGGTGGGCCCCTGGGACCAGGGTGTGTGTTGAACCGATCCGACGCATTACTAAGTCTGGGATAAAAGGTATCGGGCTCAATGCGCAGGGTAAATACTTAGTGATGGCGTGTTTTTGTGAAGGGCTCTGGACCGAGGACAGGGCTTTACGGTCCGGGTACATCACACCAGGCCTCTGCCCCCTGTGTCAAGAGCCCGATTCAGTAGGCCACAGGATCTTCAGATGCCAGCACGCGGAGGTCGTCGCGGCAAGGCAGGCCGCCGACGTCTCCATGGCCTTTCTCGAGAGCGCCCAGAGCGGGGACGCGCAGTTTTTCGAGGCCCTCAAGTTTCAGCACCCAGCGGCCGAGTGGCCGAATCTCTCGGATGTGCACGAGCCAGAGCTTTTCGACATGAATGGGCAAAAAGTGGAGTGGGATCAGTTTGATGGTTCCGCCTTGTTCCAAGCTGGAGATGGGTCATGCGCTCGGCACACCATCAGAGAGCTCTCGAGGGCGGCTTACTCGTGGGTCTTCTTTGATGCGGAGGGCGTGCAGCGATATGTTGCAAAAGGAGTTGTGTGGCCGAGCCTGCCCCAAACCAGTCAAGCGGCAGAACAACTCCAGCTCGCGTTGTTACCAATATATGTACCAAATCATGGGCCGACGTTATACAGCGACTGTATGAATGCCGTCAAACTGCACAACATGGAACCGTCATGTCAAGTGTCGGCCAAGCAACGTTATGGAGGGTTGAGAAGGGGGGCCTTGCTTCGCATGAGAAATCAAGAGTATGCCCCAGCTGTTCACACCCCAGCCCATAGAAAGTTAGAAGACATCGAGCAACTGCCCCCACCTGAGCGGTGGATAGGCCAGGCCAACTGGCGAGCGGATCGGGAAGCGAAAGGAGCCCTTGACCTCCATCCCAGACCCGCGCCCGCCGACTGGCAGCAGTTAGATAGTTCGATCGAGAGTCTTGAGACGGTTGCCCGCCTTGTGGCGAATGTGTGGCCGTGTTTTCCTAGGGTGCACCACCAGCGCCCGCCCCGACGTGAGCGCCAGCGCAAGGTCATTGACTGCGCCACGAGCTGGCACGACTGGGAGTCATGGCTGTGGGGCCACAGGTGTGCCAAGTGTTTAAGTTTTTATGGGGGACACCTCCAAGGTAGGCCAGAGGTGGGGTGTAAGGGTCTCTCGAGGAGCCTCACCAAGTTGCTCTCTGAGGCCCCCGCCCACGGCCACAAGTTAGCTAGTACGCAAGTAGGCGACGAGAAGCTGCCCCTAGTGTTTTGTATGTTTTGTGGTAGCTACTCGCAAGAAAAAGTGCGTAATCTGGCAGGGAAGTGTGATCCGAGGGAACACAGTGCAGGTGCCAGTGTGCTGAGTAGGCTCAAGAGAGGCCTTCACCCTCAGCGTAACGTTGCAGTTTCATGTGCGGCTCCTGAACGGCCAGCGTCAGGAGCGGCCGTGCGAGCCTTTGCCACCGCCTCGCGGGTTCATCTCATCCCTCCGTGCTCGTCTCATTTAGCTTGTCTGGCCCCTCTGAGGGCCAGGATTGCTGAGAGAGAAACGGGGGTGCGGGTGGACGTCGGGAGCGGTGGGCGGGGAGGGCAGCAAGAAGCTCCGAGAGTGCAGGGTCCTGCGCCAGGAGATGAAGTTTTTGATGTTTTGTTCGAGGCTGAGGAAGCCGAAGCCCGAGTTTTGTTGGAGGACGGGGTTCCTGGTGCAATGACAGAGGCTCCCGTGCGTGACACCTCCGACGTGTCTGACCCCCGTGAGGGGATGAGGGGTGGGTCCGACTTGCCGCGGTGCGAGGAGGACGAGGCTCCTCTGATTCCGAACCGCCCTGAGGGCTCGGAGTCGGGGTCAGACTAATGCCTGGGGGACTGGCGAGTGGCCAGGGGACATCCTCCCTCCTTGGGAAATGAGTCCGTGGTCGCTTGCTGGTCCCTTTTCTGGCGTTAGGTTCTGAAGGGCTGCCCAGGCAGCCGCTTACAAACAGGTCAGGCCGCCGTGGCAAAAAAACAAAAAACAAATGTTGCCCTCGGCGGCGAGCGAGGGGGGGGCGGTGAGAAGGAGAAGGCTTTCTCAGAAGGCTTGGAAGTCCCCCGGCCTTCTGAGAAGTTTCCCACGACTTCCCCGAAGACGCAGAACGCTTCTCACAATGCCGAAGGCCTCCTTCCTGAGAGGCCCCGCCGCCTCCAGAGAGAGAGAGAGAGAGAAGTCCTTCTTCCTCTCGCTTCTCCCCCTCGCTCGCCGCCGAGGCTCTGGCGCCGGCCTGTGCTGCCCGCGCCCACCCCATGCCCGCCCCGCGGGCCGAGAGGTGGAAGCGTCGCCGGCCGCGCGGCCCGGCGGGGCACCCCCGCGGGGGGGGGGGGGGCCCTCGCGGCGGGCTCGGTCTGTGGGCCGCGCGGGCGCCCCCCCACGTTGGGGGGCCAGGCCGGGGCGCCGCGCCGCCGCAGGGGCCCCCCGCGGCTGCGGCAGGGGGGGGCCCCTCGCTGCGCGCGAGCGGGCGCGCGGCGCGCGGCGCCGGGGTCGCCCGCCCGGGGCGCACCGGAGGCCCTCGCCAGAGATCGTCGGTCCGGCAGGCGCGGCGGGCGCCTCTACGTGGAGCGCATGCCTGGCCTGGGGATACGTCGGGAGCCCTCGAGACCGACGCGTCCCGGGAGCAGCAGCGCCCCAGCCCTGAGGCGGGGCCCAAATTCGGCCCGTATCGTTTGGGCTCCTCGTCCTGCTCCTCGAGCAGCGGCCGAAGTCACGCCAGGAGGCCTGTCGCTCCTCTCGGCCTCTGGGGTCCCTTCTTCCCGGCCCATGCCGGGCCAGCGAGGAGCGCAGGATAGGAGACCGGTCCTACCAGGAGAAGGGGTCGAGGACCTGCTGGGGTCCGACGTGATGAGCGAAGCGCGGCGTCGGAGTCCGGGGGGGGCCATGGGGGGGGGGCCTTGGGCTCGCACGGGCGAGCGGCGCGGGACCCAGACATCCGGCGTCTCGACTTCGTCGTCCGAGACGCGGGCGCCCCCGACCTCCCGACCACCGGGCGAAAGGGGGGGGGTGGGAAAGGGGGGGGTACGAAATTTGCTGCATGCAGCTGTTTTCGGCCTCACCGAGGGGTCCATTCCTCGATACATAGCCGCCTCCGGCGCCGGGAGGCGCCGGGAAAATCAGCTACGTGAGCTGATTCTCAAACCCCCCCTTTGCTATCCCCCCTTTTCGCCCGACCCGAGACCTCCCTCGGTAGGAAACCAATGGGAGCCTGGTGTACCCTCTTAATGCTGTCTTTAGCGTAGGCCGGCGTCCACTAGCGTCTCGGAGGGGATGAGACAGCGCCGGTTTCGAGCCGAGCGAGCGTCGACCAGCGTCGATCTCGCGCCGACCAGCGTCGATTCGCAAGAGCCGACAAGATGGTATAGGGGAAGCTCCCATGAGTTTCCGTCGATACTTCCCCGGGGCCGGCTTCTCCCCCCGAGGCGTTTCCTTGCGGATTCTCGCGTTTTGTTGCGGGCACTTGTTTCCTGACGCGCCTCCGTCTCGACATCTTCGAGGCGCCGGGCGCCCGGGAGGCGAGCGGCGCCGGGCACGGGCTGCGCGCGAGCGCCCGTCGTCTCCGCGCGAGGCGCGCCTCTCGCCGGCCGCCCGCGCCCCCCCCGGCGCATCCGAGCTCGCCGCACCGCCGTGCTGCGAGCGCCCTCGTCTCGCTCGTCGCACGGGCGGCGTGGTGTCGGGGGCGGCAGTGTCGTCGAGGGCCAAGAGAGCCCGTGGCCCCCACAGCACGAGGAAGGCGTGGCCTCACCCAGGTTCCCGTCCTCGCAGTATGGGGTGATGTGATGTACTTGGGCGGTTCGGTGCGAGACACCTGCAAGAAACACGCCCCTATCCCTACTGTGTTCGGCCCTCCTGACTGAGGTCCCCTCCCAACGGGTTAGGAGTACTTTGATTGTGTATCACAGTATGTTCGACGTTCGTTCGTGTGTGTATTTGTTGCCCGCCCGCTCTGGTCACTAGTGTGCCCCGTGCCTTGCGCGGCCCGCCGGCCCTGCAGTCGCGCCAGCAGTGAAGTGCATGCGTGTATGTGTGTGCGCGTGTGTGTGTGTGTGTGTGTGTGTGTATGTGTGTGCGCGTGTGTGTGTGTGTGTGTGTGTATGTGTGTGTGCGCGTGTGTGTGTGTGCGTGTGTGTGTGTGTGAATGTGGTCATTGCACCTTGCAGTGCGCGACGTCTCGTACAATGTGCTTTCGACAATGCTCGATCGCAGTTGGCACTTCCATCTGCTGCCCGCGCTTGAGGACCCGCTGCGCCGCGGGCTTAACGTGAATGTGGTTATCCCCGATCCCAGGGCGTCGTCCCCTCCTCTGGTGCTTTGCTCGCCTGGACCGCCCACCAGGGCGCTGGCGCTCCTCTGTTGGAGCGGCCTTTCCCGGCCTGCCCCTTGCCAGCCTGCGCCGCCACCGCCTGCTCCCTTTCGCTGCTTGTTGCCACCCTTGAGCGGGCCGCATGTTGCGTCCGCGCGTGCCTGATTCCTGTCGTACGTGTTGTTTGTTCGTCCATATCCGTCAGCCGCTTGTCGGTTGGCCCCCAGCGGCACACGCTCGGTGGTAATCAGCTTCGCGCACCCCGCCAAAATAGCCTCGCTGTGTTGGACCAGTTGGCCGCGAAACAATATATATATATATATATATATATATATATATATATATATATATATATGTGCGGGGGTGTGTAAGCTCCCTTGCTTCCCAGGGCCTATGTGATCGGATCGGTAGGATCGGATACCGAGTTCGGTGCTGCTGTCCTATGCGGCCCGATGGTGGCACAGAGCAGTTGTGCATCTGGCGGCAGCCGAACCGATTCAATCTCGGCTCCGCTCCGATGCAGCCCGAGCCGACGCACCTTCCGATCCGATTCGGTTTCCCGATCCGCTGCTGACGTATCCTGCCTCTTCTCCGCCTCCTCCGCCTCCTCCCGCTTCTCCGGTTAAGTCGGGCGTGTCCCTCTACAGGAGGAGAACTCCAAAGTAGTCCCAAAATAATCCAGGGACGATCTCTCGACCTCTCCTGCAGGGTGGTTTTTGGAGCACGCTTGCGGGGCATGCTTCATTCTCCGTCCAGAGACCCCCTGTGGGGGGACAGGCCCGACTACGGTGGGGGCCCTGCAGAAGGAACCCCTTTCGTTGGGGAGGGGCCCCGCGTTTCGTAAGTGTTTCGCAGCTTCCCCTCAGGCTTCCCTTAGGCTTTCGAGAGGACGTCGAAGGTTCACTTACGGAAAAATGGGGCCTCTGGCTGGCGTACGGGCGCGCCCCCCCGGCGTAGCCGCCGTGCTGCCAGGGCGTGGGCGTGGAGGACGAGGGGTGTGGAGAGGGAGGGAAAAAAAAAGTTCCTTCTTTGGGGTTCCTTAGGTCAATGCCCCGACTGCAGCGCGTCGTTGCGCCAGCTCCGGCCCGCCGCGCCCCGGCGCGGCGCGCTGCGTTCACGTCCCCCCGCCCCCCGCGCGGCGAAGCCCCCTGGGGTGCCCGCGCGCCCGCGGCCTCCACGGCATTCGCGCGGTCTCTCCTGGTGGCCTCCGCGGCATCTCGCGCGGCTCCCCGGCGGGGCACGCCCGGCAGGCCCCGCTTGCCAGAGAGGAAGCCGCCTCTGCTGGCGCCCCCCCCCCCCTTAGTGGGCCCTGGAAACGGCAGGGCCGTTTTTGTTACCGGTTCCGTTTTGCCGTTCTTGTTGCCGGTTCCGACGCCGATTTTGTTACCGGTTCCGTTTTGCCGTTGTTTGACCGGTTCCGGCTCCGGTTCCAATCCTGGAGCCGTTTTTTTGCCGTTTCTGGTCGCCTTTTTTTGCCGTTTCCATTTTCAAGGGACATTTTTTTGGAAACGGTGAGAAGACGGCCCTGCCGTTTCCGGGGGCCACAAAGCCCCCCCCCCCCCCCTTCCCCCACCCCACCGCCAGCCTCCAGCCGGTGACGTGTGCGGTGTGGGGCTCTCGTGGTCCCGGAGGGCATGCCCAGAGGAGCAAGCGGTCACGATACAAGGGGGGGCACTATAGCTTTCACCATAAGACGTCAAGCCTTGGACACCCCCGACCCCCCGTATAATTTTAGCGACAGGTTTTTTGGTCAAGGAGCGGTCCGAATCCGATGAGCTCGTACCCCCGTAACAACATATTCATATGTAGATAATTACATACATTGTGCGATCGATGCCCCGCCCCATAACAAATAAGCCTGGACATCACTCCGACTTGGACCCAATCGCAGCGCAATCATTCCGTATGGGCCGCTTGAGATTGTCAGTGTCATCTTCGTCATCACCGTTGTCATGCCGATGTCAACGCGATACTCCATTGTTTTCGGTCTCGTCATGACGCGGAGTGGCCCTGGGAATTCTTATACAACGCTGTCGCTCTTGCTTCGCTGGCCGGCCATCCCAGGGGGAGCACGAAAATTCGCGAATCCGCACCAGAGCATTTTTGCGTTTCCATCGGTCGTCTGCGGCACGCGGGACCAGCTTTTCCATGTTCCGCCGACGGTCAACAAAAAAATAGTAACCGGCAAGTAATGATAAGTTCCAGGGCTTCCCCCGATTCCAAGACGTTCTAATGTCCCCAGTGCCGCTAGATACTTTTTTGACAACCCATCATGACATCACTTGCATCCTAAATACAGCCATGTGCCCGAGACGTATCCCTGATCGTTCTGCCCTCCCCCCCCCCGTCCCCTCGCCCATCCCATCTGCTCCCCCATCGCCCCCCGTCCTCCCCCGCACCCCGTCCTCCATCCGCTTTTCCTTTCCCTTGCCATCCCTGTCCTCTCTCGCTCGATCTCTCTCTCTCTCTCTCTCTCTATCTATTTCTCTCTTTCCCTCTCTATGTTTTCCCCTCTCCCGTTCCCCTCCTCCTTCCTCGCCGTTTCCTCAATCTCCCGCCGTCCCCCCAGGCCCCCCCATTCCCCCACAAGCCCCCTCCCCTTGTGCTTTATTTCCCCACTTCCAGTGCGTTCCATTTTCTGGTCTTGCTCCGTCTGCAGTAGTCATGGTCGCCAATTTTTGTTTAAGCACCAGTGTGTTCGTTTACGAGTGCTGCTCGTGTGCTGCGGACGTGCTTCACATGTGTGACTGCACATGTAAAGCAGCGATGACACGTCGCTGTCTCGGTGAACTTATCTCCGTGGCTTTCCCAACTAGACCCTGTAAGGGGGGCCCCATTTTTCCAGCCCTGATTTCCCCAAGCCGCCTGTGGAGCACGAGGTTCGCTCTGGCGCCTGGGGCTGCCTTGCTTTGCCTTGCTCTGCGCGAGGGCGTGGAAGAAGGTGGTGGGGACTAGGGGTCTACGTGTGTGTGGACACCATGGCTGGGGCCATGACGTCTCTCATACATCATGGCCCCTTCACCTTCTTTCAATACGCCCCCTGGGCCCCTCCTCGTCCGCGCACATGCCTTGGACCATGATGCGCTAATCCCCTTTCGGTTTAATTGGTTCGTATTGCTTTCCGTTTCATCACCTTGTTTGTTTTGTCTTGCGTTGCGTATGTTTTTTGTGTGTATCGGTTTGCGTTATGTTGCGTTATTTCGCATTGTTCGGCCAGGTTTGGTGTTGATTCGATTTGTAGTTGCTATTGGTTTTCGTTGAGTTGTATTGCTCTCCATTGAGCTGTTCTGCTGTGCATTGACGTGTGTTGCGTTGGTGATTATCCATTGCTTCGCTTCGCTTTGCGCTTTGTATTGTGCTTTGCCTTGCAATGCCTTGCTTTACTTTTCACTGCGCCGGGACAGAGCATTGCTCCGTACTGGGGTCGCTCTGGTTTCTCTCGTTCCGTATGTCCACCCGGGAGTTTAATGCATTCCGGCTCCCATCACACAGGCTTGTCGGTGTGTAATCAAGTTTGTGTTGTTTCTTTTTTGATCGGTTTGATTATTCGTTTGTAAGTATGTTTGCTCGTGTATTTTGAGGCCAGTCCACGCGGGTCTGCACATTGCGAACTGTGTTCGCTCCACGGGATTCCATATTTACTCTGCAGCATTCAGCCAGGCCACCGTTGGAGCTGCCTTCAGCACCAAGACGATCCAGTCGGGTAATCGGGAGGTGAAGTTTGAGATATGGGACACTGCTGGTCAGGACCGAGCTCTGCCCCCTTCCGCTGATGCGTCTGCTCGGGCAGTTCGCTCTCCTGGCTTCGCTGCTGCGCCTCCTTTCCCGATCCTCAGCCCCTTCTTCCTGCTCCCGCATGGCCTCTACCAGTTTCCATCAGAGCTGCGTCTTCGTTCCATCTGTGCTGCGTACATTAGTCGCCTCCACCCCGCCCCACCTTCTCCTGTATTGCCGCCCGTCGATGGCCAAGTGCTGGCATCATCTCCGCCCTTTTTCTGGCGACCGTTCCAATCTAGAATGCCGACGCCGTGCTCCATCCATTCCCCATCCTTCGCCTCCCCGTTCTCTGTGGTGCCCCTCAGTTTCCAGCCACTTTCCCACCTGACCTCTATCGGCCCACGTCGTCGTCGCCATTTCAACGGCCTCGACCGTCAACGGCGGCATTCGGTCGAGCTCAGTGTCTCCAATACTTTCGATCACATATCCGGCACGAGCAGGCTGCTTTTTCTTGGATGCCAGGGTGTCGCCCCGTTTCATCAGCGTATCTTACAACGACGTAGACGGATAAAGTGCAAGTGGAGGGGTCCGCTGTTGCCTTGTTATTCTGACTCTGGCCATGGATACAAGGTTCTGTCAACATTGTTAGTTTCTTGCGTCAGTAGTCGCCCTGTTGCTGGCGGGCGCACTTAGACACCGCACCTTGGCGGCGCGTCGAATGCAAAAGTGGCAGCCGTCACATGAGAAACTGTGTTCTCAGGGTCCCATCGGCTAATGCCAGCCTTGAGGAAACGCAGGGAGGCCAGCTTTCGGGGCGCCGCTGGGGAGCAGATGGCGCACCTGACGTCTGTGCAGGAGTGCGCGCTGTATCGCATGCACAGTGAGCGCACTGTGGACACGGACGTGGTGAACATGTAGTGGGCGCTTATAAAGCCCAGGAGGGCAGGCGAAACCAATACGACAGGGTTCCAGGTATGTTTCCCCAAGTAGTGCTTGCACTTTGGGGTCCTTGCGTGCGTTCCTAAGGACTTGGATGGGTCTGGCGAAGTTTCGCCACGTTGCTGCCAGTGACCGCCTCCTTGCTGCCTCGTGCGCTGGGTGGTTCCAGCGAGGTTTCGCCACGTTGCCACCCGTTGCAGCCTCGTTGCCGCCTCGTTGTCGCCTCGTGCGCTGAGGGGGTCCAGCGATGTTTCGCTACGTTGCCGCCCGTTGCCGCCTCGTGCGCTGGGTGTGCCCGGCGAAGTTTCGCCACGTTGCCGCCCCTTGCCGTGTCGTTGCCGCCTCTAGCTTGCTCCACGTAGTATACCGCACCACATGGCTTGCACCACATAGCTTGCGCCACATAGTTTGCACATCCATGATGCAACAACTTCCTGCTCTTGGGCCACACTGGCTATCTTTTCTCTGTTGTGTAGGTTTCTGTTTTCCTCATATTCATATTGACGTATCCATGTCAGTTGCCACAAGTTCGCAGTACGTTCGCTGCTCGTTCACCGTACGTTCGCTTTGCGTTTCCCGTGAGTATGATGGTCGTTTCGCAATGCTTCAGGCAGTAAAGCAAAACAGATGGCAAAATTAAATTACCCAGTGACGTACCCAACCCTTTCTAAACACATGGCGAAAACATTTAGGACCGCTCACTACAAACAAACCTATTGAAGGACTCGCAGTGCGCATGCGTTCCCAGAGTTCACAACATCAACACACAGGACTGGAGAGACAGGGCGGGGACAGAAGCATGCAGAGAAGGGTAAAGGGGGGACAGAAGTGCTCCGCGGCAGTAGTGGCGCCGAGAGCTACGTGCGCGGGACAGAACAGATCAGAGCAGCGCCTGTGCACTCTGAGGCAAAGCAGCGCGCCGCGCCAGGCCGGGCAAGCGCCCGGGGTGGCATGGCGGGCCAGAGGCAGCTGAGGACGGGAGGCCACACGAACAAAAGACAGCGCCATGCGTTGCGTGGCGCAGCCTGACATCGCCGAGCGCTGCGTGACCGGACAGTGCCGCGCGCTATGGGATTTTCTGCCATTTGGGATGAGAGCAGTCGCCGTCAGTTGCAGTTCTCGTCGCCACCCGCGCCAGAGAGCCGCGAGGTCCCGACGGGACCTGCTGGACCATTCCACTCCGCTGGACCTCCCAGGAGCCCACGAAGGTGGCGACCGTTTCACACTTCGCGGCCCCCAGGGAGCCGCGAGGTCCCAAATGGATCCCCGTGTAACCCCACTCCGCTGGACCTCCCAGGAGCCCACGATAGTGGCGACAGTTGCACGCTTCGCAGCCCTCCCCCCCGAGCCACACGGTTCTCATTGGGTGTCTGCGCAATTCCTTTCCGCGCGATCTCTCAGGAGCCCACGAATGTGGCGACGGCTTCACACTTCGCAGCCCCCCATGGATCCGCAAGGTTTCGACGGGATACCCGTGCAACTCCATTCC